CAGAGGGGTTTTCTGGTGAAGAGCCTCCAAAGCTTAAGTCAGTGTTTGTTCAATCAATTCTCAAGAGTAAGCAATAGAATGATCGTGTTGAGCAAGAAAGGCTCATCCCATATATATAGGTGTGAGATACCTGCCCTAGGAGCTGCCCAGATCTGCTGAGCTGTCTGCCCCAACTGCCCGTCCGTACACACGCAGTGTGAGTGTGTCAGAGGTAGCCGATGCCACTATCCTCTGCACCAATGCCTTCGCGCCATGTGTCCTCCGCACATGGGATAAAATATTCCCCTGCGATCTGCTGACGTCCCACTGACACCTCTGCAATTTCATTAGAGACTCATCGTATTTTGACCTTATCCAAGTCAACTCCCTAAGTTGTCTTTTATCCCCGACTAGATCGACCACTAGGTTATCCTCGAGTTACCTTTCGACCAGGTTTGTAGCCTTTCAGACGACCTTCTGCTCGAGCTCCTCGCGTGTCAGTTAGGTCTCCCCATTGCTCGTGACTAGGCCTCCATCCCTTTTCCTTAGTGGTATCTTAGCACTACTCTCTTGGCTCGATATCGTGACCCAACATAGTTCTCCTTCACTCTCTATCCGCTCGACCAGTTTAAAGAGCCGGCCTATCCGTCTAGGTATAATATCCCATATCAATATATATATATATATATATATATATATTATACGTTATCAATAACAAATACTTTACAAAAAAAAGAAAAAAAAAATAATTCAGTCACATTGAGAGAAGTGACACATTCTAGGTTTATTTATGTTTCTTTTTCAAACGATAGATTTTATTGATAGAAACACATAAGTACAAACTATAAAACAACAAATCCGTTGAGAAAACAACCAACCATTTGAATCTAGGTGGGAGAGCTACATAAAGTGTAGTCTAAAATCCCACATATCAACAACAAACAAACTACAACACACAAAATACAATTTACAAAACTCCAAATAGAGGAGAAAGAAAAACTCCACAAGGAGAGAAACTCCCAACCGGGAGAACCAAAAAAGAAGAAACAGAAACACTAACCAACAACAGAGAAAAACACAAAACAAAAAATGCAAAAAATACTAAAGATAACAACGCCTTCCCCACCGGACATCAACCCCACCACCCGTGCGACCAAGCAAACAACCAAACGCGACCCACTGGAAAAAGTCCCCAAAAACTATAGCCCAGGACGAACCTTAGCTCTGAAAAACTGCCTCCGGGAGCCCACACCAAACCACCGCCACATCCCCCCCCCCCNCGCAAACTCTAGGGGCAGCACACGAGACACCATCACTGCCAGAGGTTCCGACCACCCGAACACCAAGGGAGGCCGGAAAATGAGAGGACCACGGTTGGTTTACCACCACAAACATCCTCGGACGCCGGCAGCGACCGCCGGACGTCACCTAGTGACCTCTGCCTTCGAGCTTCTCCCGCCATGGCGCTCGTTGACAAGAGCGGGACCATGTACGAGGAGGGAGAGACGAAACGACCACCACGCCAGTGCCGGCGAACCTAGGACAGGCCCGATGCTCGTCGAAATCGCAAGAGCATGAAGCCGCCGGATGGGAGACACCGCAATTGAAGGCGCAAGGGTTTTTTTTCGATTTGGGGGAGAAGTTCGATAAAAAAAAAAAAAAGAGTGCACAATCACAAGCAATTGGTTTATTTATGTTAATTAATCAATCTATACTTATATTAAAAGCTATACTATTTACTAAATGTAGTATGTAGAATAGTCAACCCTAATTAATGATTTGCTATTTTTATCAAGCATTTAATTAATGCATCTAATATTTTTTGTATGCAAATCAAATTAGCATTTAATTAGTTCCTAAAACATTAGGTATGCAATATTAATTTAGGAATATCCATGTAGTTCCTAAAATGTTGGTATGCAATACGTAAAAGAAGATTTTTTAATTTTTTTTAAATATAAATATTGCAACATGTAAAACTATTCCAATTATTTTTTATTTTATTTTACATATAAAATCTAATCAATATTTAATGCATCTTACAAAATTGGATTTAGTTTAATTCTCCATACAATTGGTTTTAACTTTTTTTTTTTCAGAACAATAGAGGTAATATAGAAAAGCACAAAAGTGCAAAGGTACAAATTACAAGACCCCAACAGGGTAATAACTACGGCCCCAACAGGGTAATGAGGGTTGTACCTTTTTCAGTTGTATTTTATTTATTTATTTATTTTACACTTCTAAATTAATGAAGCTCTCCAAAAATACCAAATTAATGATTTATGAAAGTTTTTTTTTTCTTTTTTTTTTTTACAATTTTAAATCTATATACCCAGCTTAAAAAACTCATCGCATAGATATGGACGCGTTTAAGAAAATTTCATAACCCAGCTTATAAAATTCCATCTCCACGAGTCAAAAAAATTACATCCCTCATCTATCGTAACAACTTTGAAGGTAAATAAATAAAAGTCTAATTACTACTATAAATCCATTATCTATATAGATTTTTTAAAAATCTGAATTTCACCTATCTAATTACTAATATTTTAGATACTTTTAAATATTATTTGTATAAATTGTTTTACACATTTGCTCTCTCTATATATATACATATATGGAGGATAAATGAAAAATTTTTAGACATATTTTCTTTACGGGTAGTTTAGAAAAATTTAGGTAGCTTCAAACATTATTTGTGAATAATATAGAATATTTTAGATGCTTTTACAGATGTTATAAAATATTTTAAGTATTTTTAATATTTATATATCACACTTAAAAAGAATATTTTGCCAAAAAAAAAACATTAAATACACATTGTAAATGTTAATAGAAACAGACTTCAGTGTTCGTCTTTGATTTTGTCAAAACAAATCTCATAAAATCGGTGAAGTCAAAATTTGTACGTAAAGTCCATCTATACTAAAAAAAAGGTAGATTCAAAATTCTTTATCTAATTTCTTATTTTCCTTATCTAATTCCTTCTTATTATCTAATTGTATAGAAATCTGTTCTAATTTTGTTCAATCTTCTAATTGTATTTGTATTATATCCCATAAAATCAGTTTAACAAAAAAAATCTCATAACATCCGATAAGTAAAAAAAAGTACGTAAAATCTTTACTAAAATACAAAAGCTTTATTTATTATCTAATTGTATGAAAATTTGTTCTGATTTTATAGTACGTACTACAAATTGTGCACCCATGCTCAAGAGCTATTTAACGGGCAAGCTCTGTGGAATTAACTCATTTAGTGCTTCTGTCCCGTGCATACGGTATGTATTTGTATCACATACTAGAAAATTGTGCACCCCGTACATCGCACGGACTCTGTACTAATAAATGACATTAAAATTATGCACCCCGTGCATCACCTGTGTTCATATTTTGGCCTATTACAGGTCACGTAATATATATATCCCGTACATTTTTGTTTATTCATTTTATATAATTATAAGACTTGATAAATGACCTTAGTTTTATGCACCCGTGCATCGCACGGGATCTGTACTAGTTAATCTGATAGTCATCCTAAAATTTTTCGTCCATTATGAATTAGAATTTTATTTTTGAATAGTAATTAAACAACTACAATTTAGCAATTGCCAAAAAATAAATCCGTTCTATAATTAGTAGATTTTTTTTTATTTGCATCCTAGGACTTTATTATTTACTTAACATAATAAATCCGTTCAATATTTAGGGATTTGTCTAATTTTGAGCCCAATGTTTTATTATTTATTTAACATACTATGCAATGAAAATATATCGTACAATAATTTCATCGTGGAATGATATATAAAAAAAAGATAACAAATTTAATCTTGACAATAATATACAGACAACTCACATGTTGACAATAATATAAAGATAAATCACATATTGAAATTCCACAGAATTGTTAATATATTTTAAATTTATTATCTCGCAATTAATAAAACTATTTAATATCTAGTCATTATCTCTTAAATAATAAACTATATTAACTTAAAGAACTTCTTTTTATATATATAAATAAATCTTAGTAAAAAATTGACAAAAATCAATTTAGCAACTTAATTTTTGCTAATTGTTGTAAAGAAAAAAAATTACCCAACTTGTTTTGGTTTTCTATAGATAAAATATCAATATCTTAAAAAAAAAACTAATAATGTGGTTACAACTTAATTTTTTTTTCCTTTATATTGGTCAAAATATTATCAACATGAATCATAGAAAATCAATTTACAGTTTATTATAATGGATATGAATAAAATTATTGCACATGTAATAGTTTTTGGCTATCAATTAAATTATTTCAAAATATTTTCATTTTAATAAAAAAATATTTTTTGGGTGGGAAACAATGCAACTTTGAGTAAACAAATATCTTTTCATGTAGATATAGATAAAGGTAGATAAAGGTACTTGAAGATTGTATAATTTACATCCAAACACATATAGGCGCGGGCTGAAGAAACTCAAAGTTTAATAAGGAGTATAAAAAATAGAGGATGATGAGACAATGCAGAAGCGTGGAATTTTATTGATGCATGAGCATGAGGAAGTACAAGTACACTGAAGCAAGCGTTATTAGGTTTGTGAAACACAACCTTTCTCTTTTATTGCACAAACACAAACTAGCGTGTGAGAGAAGATGACAATAACATTAAAGTAGTTTGCAACCAGCGTGTCCTTTGATCACTCCATAGAAAGCATTCGGGCTGGGCACCACTCCCGACAGCTTGTTGCTAGAAAAATCGGAATCGATTATAGCAAACATTTTGCACAAGTTTGATGGAATTTGGCCCGTAAATTTGTTGCGCGACAGGTCCAGCCTTTCTAAGTTGGTCAACCCTTCAAATGCCGGTGTGATGGGCCCCGACAACAAATTGTTACTGAGATCTACCAAATACTTGGCATTTTTCAAGTTGCCAATTGAATCTGGTACTTTACCTAATAAATGGTTATGGCTCATGTTCAGGCTCAGCAAGCGACCTAGATTCCCGATTTCCTCTGGAATGTTCCCCGTCAAGTCATTACGTGACAGATGAAAAAACTGGAGTGCTGTTAGCTGGCCGACCTCCCCGGGGATTTCTCCGCTCAAATGGTTTCCGCTCATATCGAGATGAAAAAGCTGGTTCAAATTCTTGAGCTCGGCCGGGATATTCCCCGTTAGTTTGTTGGAGCCCAAGTTGAGGACGCGTAGTTCTTTGAGATTCCCTAGCTCGGGTGGAATAGGTCCATATATTTTGTTATTATTGATCAACAAATCGGTGATGGATGAGTTGGAGGACCATTTGGACGGGATTTGGCCACTGAGTTGATTCCCGCTCAAGCTTAAGTACACGAGCTGCTCAAGCGTGCCAAAACATTCAGGAATATTTCCTTTCAAATAATTTTGGTCGAGACGCACCCGGGTTAGATTTTGGAGGTTGGAGATGGAGTTGGGAAGGGGCCCTGTCAGCATGTTGTTGCTGAGCAAAAGGTACTGGAGGGACTTGAGTTGCCCAATCTGGGCAGAAATATTCCCACTGAGTTTGTTTTCTGACAAATCGATCATCAAGAGGCTTTTTAGGTTCCCTATTGATTGAGGTATATTACCCGATAAAGAGTTTGTTCCCAAGTTTAACTCTGTCAGGTTTGTCAATTTTCCTATTTCTTGCGGTATAATGCCCGTAAAACTATTATTATTGAGGAATAAATAATTGAGATTTGTGAGGAGGCCTATCTGGGATGGGATTTCCCCTGTGAAATGATTGTTTTGGAGCTGTAAGGATATTAGTTTGGTCCACGAGGCGAGAAAATTGGATATAGGGCCGGATAAGTTGTTTTGGGATAATCCAAACTCGGATAAGTTGGTTAAATTCGACAGGGACTGGGGCAGAGTCCCGGAAAGGGAATTCTGGGCTAGTGATAAGTAGGACAGATTAGTTAACTGCCCGAGCTCGGAAGGAATTTCCCCAATGAAATTGTTTGACCGAAGGTCTAAATGCTCAAGTTCTGTAAGTTGACCTAAGGAAACTGGTACACCACCGGTGAGGTGGTTTAGAGAAAGATCGAGAAACTTGAGATTTTTACAATTTAGTATGAAATGCGGGAATTCGAAAGTGAGTTCATTTAGGGAGGCGCTAAAATAGGTCATGGAAGGGTTACCACTGGTTTCGGAAAAATCCTTACTAAAGCCCTTGAAAAAGTTGCCGGCCAAATCGAGGTGCAACAGGTTCTGGAGGTTGGCAATCTCTGAAGGGATATCACCGTTGAAATTGTTGTTAAAGAGAGTTAAATTCTGCAGATTGGTTAGTTTTCCAATCCCGTGTGGAATGGAACCGTTAAACATATTGTAGCTGAGGATGAAAGAAGCGAGGTTGGACAGGGTGTCGATATTTTGTGGTATGGAGCCGCTGAAATTGTTTCCGTTGAGGTCAAGAATTTGGAGGGATGATAATGGGATGAAATTGAGATGAGCCAGAGTTCCGGTGATACCGGCATTGCTTAGGTTAAGAGCGATAACCGAACCATTTCTATTGCAAGTAATGCCATACCAAGTGGTGCACAATTTTTTGGCGTTATATTTGGACCATGAAGTAGATAGAGATTGGGGTACTGTTGATAAAGTGTTTCTCCATTTTAACAGCACTGTGGCTGCTGGGTCTACATCTACATATGGTGAGGAAGATATTGTACTGAGGAGGAAGATGGGAAGCAACAAAACGAGGGTGGCTATTTGGGGTGGGTTCATCATTGCTTTCTTAATTGGTTGTGTGTGTTAATGTCACAACGGTGTTGTCCTATTTATACAAGAGTCCGCCTAGATTTTTAATTATTCATAAAAGTTTTTTTTAGCATATTTAATTCATAAAAGAGAGAGAAGAGCAATGTAAGATTTTTTGACAAGAACCTTAAAATAATATCTTGATATTCTTGCAAGTAAAGGACTTAAAGGGGAAGATCTATTTTTTCTCTCTCTTCATTTAATTAAGTCTATATATTATTTTTGATAAGTATGATATATATATATATACTAGAAGGAACACGGCCGTGTACAACACAACCATGCCTACGACGTGGTCTTACTCTAATATTTTATAAAGTTGAGCATTTTCTGATATTCTACTATTATATATGTAAAAACACTTCCATTTAATAATTTCTTTAAGCCTTCCATTTAACACTACTATGTGTAAAATATACCAAGACACCAACTCAAAACACTTAATGGGTACACTTAAAATTTTTTTTCTTGTAAAAAAATATAGAACGGTTGAAAGTATTCTATTTCAATATAATTTAAAGTTCATATAAATTACCATAAGCAAGAGTAAGAAACAAGCAATATGATAATGAAAAGGCAAAAGATAATACGAGTAATATGATCCCAAACATAATAAAAACAAAATAAAAAAATGAATCAAAAGATTGAGAGAGTACACCTGAACAACATAAATGTCAATAATTTGATCATATGTAGATTGTAAAGATAAAAAACACACAAGAAAAAAATAATAATGCGAGTAATGTGATCTCCAACAAACCAACAAACTAAACAAATGAAACGGAAAAATGAGCAAGTACACACCCGAATAAATAAATGTCATTAATTTTTACTTCAACCACTTTTCAAACTTAAAAAAGAAAATTAAATGACGTGTATAATCATACCATAAGCAATTGAAAAATAAAATTATTAGTCAAAACATAAATACAAAATATAAACAACAAGGCTAGAAATAATAGCACACAAACCAATTCAAAATTAAATTTTCTATGCACTTAAAAAAATTTATTCAAACATGAGCCATGTGCACATATCAATAAAAGAATGTAGTATGAACTATGAAGTAAAAAAACTCCAGCTAGATTTTTTAAAAACTATTCTAAACATAAAAAACATGAAATGATAGGGGTGTGAAGTTTAGCTGGAAGAAGGCTTAGAGAGGGCTGCAAATGAGGAAGAAGCTATGCTCAAAGTTGTAAGATGGGGCTTGATGAAGCTGCAACAAACTGGAAGTGCAACATCTATATGCTGCTGTGTTGACTCTTACCAAATGGCCCAAATACTCAACCACAATGAAGACACCAATGCTGCAGGAGCTGATTTGGTAGCTGAAATCCATACCATTGTAGCCTCATTTTCTAAGTGTTCTTTTGTTTATGATAAGGTAGCATGTTTTATTTCTTTTGATTTGGCCTTGGGGGCTTTTTAGGGAGGTTAGTGTTGATCTCTCGTTGCTTGAAGTAATTCGGTTTGCAGAATTGCTTGTAAGTGTGTAACTATTTAGGTAATCGTGTTGTATGAACCTTTGATCATGTGTTTTTAATATATTGGTTGTTTGTGTTGGAGAAAAAAAAAAAGACTCATATAAATTCAAATAATTTGGATATCATGCCTTTATTTTGAGATTGAGCAAACACATGCATTATTAATGTTTGGGCATTATTATTATTATTATTATTATTATTATTATTATTATTATTATTATTATTATTATTATTA